CGCTTTGAAGGATCAAAGGGAAAAAAAACAACACCTTTCTAGATACAAGATGGCTGCCAAACTGCACTTAGCAAAGACAAAACTTGAGGAACAAGATCCTCTGGACAGAAAAGACCAGAGTGGAGATGTTGGACCATGATGGACAGAACTGTTTTTAACAGGACAACTAGTAGAGATAATTAAATCAAGTTTAAATAATAAGTCAGCTGAATTTGTAGAGCACATTTCAGCAATGAAGCAGTTAAAAGTGCTTTATATCATAAAAACCCAAAAATCAACTATTGAAACAGACATCTTTAACAAGGCTGTACTGGTGACTAGCCTGACACAGGTACACATTTTGACTTAAACAATCATAGCAACAAAACTCAGGAGCGTTTTCAACAAACTGAGACTTGACTAAACATCTACAGACAGAAGGAAATCCTTTAGCAGTTTCTAACAACTAGAGAGGTTCTGCAGACCAAGGGCCGCATGTATTAAACACTGCACAGCTTTCATTGTTAAAACTGGCATGCAGATAAATTTAGAAAAGTGTGGCAAACAAAAAAATTCAGATGTACAAAGCCGTGTGTACGCACCTTTCCTTTATAAATCCTAATTTGCAGGAAACACAGCAACTGCTGGTCCGCCTGGTGCCGTCCATAAAAAGATCTTAATGTAAATTAGCATAAATACCCTGAAGGCTGCCGCCACCTGAAGCTGTAACCATGGCAATGATGCTTGTTTTTGGTAGTTTAAGAAGTTCTAATGAAAATTTTATTTAAAAGGTGCTTGCAGGACACATAAGATCACCTTACAAAAAATGAAAATAATAAATTTTAAAGAAAAACAAAATCCAAACAGAAAAGTAAAGCAATGCTTGTTTGAACAGCAGGGTGTTGAGCCAAGATTTAAAGACAGAAAGCGTCCAGAGTCCTTTGAGTGGGAATGTGGATGTGTATTAAATAGAGGAATCATGTTGAACCAGCCAACGTGACACTACATCACAAAGGAGATGCTTTCTTTTCATAATAGGGACTGTGTGGATCTGGCCTCCAATTTAGTGAGAATCTATTGAATATCAAAGTGCAAAACTTCAACATCCAGGTGTAACATAGTTAATATTGTATAGAATTCCACTTGTCATTACTTCCCACTTTGGGTTCATGTGTAAAGGGTGAAACAGCACCCCCTCCTGGTGGTTGGCAGGGTTAAATATAGTGAACACAAACATCTCGTTGCCAGTTCATGAGAGATGGGCGCGAGGCAGGTTCACTGAGTTTAGCTCCAGTAAAATGCTATGTTAGCTTGTTGCTAACATGAAATGCTGTCCCTCGTAAGGTGCTGAACCCACTGAACCCGATTCCTGATCAGTCCATATTCTGTTTCGCACAGAAACGACGTGTGACCTTGGGTACAGCTTTAGATCCTCTTTTTACCGGATCACACAGATAAGTTTGTAAAAATGGACAGAGGCACTGCTGCAGATTACAAACAGTTTATTAAATTCACAAATGTTTCATGAGCAAAAATAGTCAATTTATTTTATTATACCAAGTGACCACACTAAAAGTGCTGGCCCTGGGATCCTTAAAGCTGAAAAATAATTAAAACCCAATTAGATCAAATTTGACTGTTTGGGGGAGGAATAATAATAAAAACACAAATACAACTAAATGCACCCAGGTGTTCCCAAACAAAAGCACATTCACACAAAAATCCCTAGTGAATACAAAGACAAAGAAAAAAAACTCCCCTTCCACTAGTCTCCTCAGTCTGAATAAAAGAGCCTATAGGACCCAGGGACAGCATAGGTCCAGTTTAAAACAAGCCAGAGGGCTGCAGCAGAAACTCCCTTTCCCTAAACAAAACCCCAAAAAAGAAAAGTTCATTTTAATCAATAATAACCATCTAAAAAAAAAAAAAATTGAAATAAAAAAAAAAAATTAAAAACTGAAACAGTAGCAGGCCAACCTACAAACAAAAGAAATCAAGTTAGACAAGAACATTAACCAGCCAGATAAATAATGAGAAACGGCCCTTACCTTCTCTAAAGTGCGTTTCCTACAACAATCAGTGGCAGAATCAGACATAAATTCTAAACTCACTTCATGATCAATGTTAAACATACCTTTGCACAAGTCATCAGCTTGCATCTGATCTCCTCAGCGATCTACCCGCTTTTAAATGTAAATGCTGATTACCTGTCACCTTAACAAGCCGGCTGCGCTCTGTCACAGCGTCTTCCATATATGGAGAAGAGGAAGAGGCGCAGCAGCACACATTCAGGGGAGACAATATGCCCTGGCTTCAGACGTTTCATCTCATCCTGTCTCCTGGCCCTCATTCACACAACGCAGAACTGATTTATGCTGATCGATCAGAATTACTGAGGTTACACAAGCAAATGTTGAAGTTTTGCACTTTGATATTCAACTAATGTTTGGACTTGTAGGACCATTTCTGCCATTCTTTCAACATTAAGGACTTTTTGACTATGTGTGCTTGAACAACCAGCAAAGGCCTAGTTAACTACCAGGATTCTCAGCAGCTGAGAAGTAGTAAAATGGCTCCAAGTTTAGCAAAAGATAAGGAAGAACATAAGATATGTCATGTATTCCCTTTAATCGCATCTTACCTATGATTGTATCCAGATGTTTCTTGTTTCCTCATCATCTATGTGTCTTTAACCTTAGCTCTTGTGTTGTTTCTCACTGGATCCTTGAGTCATTTGAATGACAGTTAGGGTTAGGGTTAGGGCCGTGATGAGGTTCTGCAGACTGCTGGATCATGGGAAGAACTCAGGTTTCAAAAAGCTCATGCTTTGTGTTAGACAAATGGCAATATGTGGAAATTGATTGTGATGGAATCAATCAACCAATCAATTAATTTTACTTATAAAGCATCAATTGACCTAAAAGCAGCCCAAAATGCTGTGCAGATCAATAAAAACAAACCCACAAAAACAAACAATTGCCCACCCCACATGGAAGATGCACAAACTACGCAGAAAAGATCCAATTCAGGAAATGCAGTTAAAAAGTCGGGTCTTAATCCTGCGCTTAAAGACAACATTTTCTGCAGCCATGAGGTTCTCTGGCAGACCGTTCCACAAACGGGGGCCATAACATTGGAAAGAAGCCTCACCTTCAGTGTGAGTTCAGACTCTGGGACTGTTGATAGTCCGGTGCCAGAGGACCTCAGGGTCCGCAGCTCTTAATCTGTTGCTTTTCAGTCTGGTAACATGAAGTTTCTTCACAGATGACGTGCTGCCCATCTACGCCTACCCTCATAGGAAGGGCAAGTCAGTGACAGGAGGATACGTGTACCGTGGCTGTGAACACCCCAACCTGAACGGCATGTACATATTTGGAGACTTCATGAGTGGGTGAGTTTACCAGGCAAACATTGGTCTGTGTCACAATGAGCTGTAAAAAATGGAGATAACAGCTTGTTTTGGTGCTCATGTCACCTGAATGTATAATGTTAACATCAGAAAGGAATCAGGGAAGTAGACCAGGCTTATTCAAACCTTTTGTATCATTTAAAACTTTCTGCAGAGGTTTGAGATGCAGCAGGGAATCAGTCTAATATTCACTATGAGGTTTTTGCTTGTTTTAGGCATCTGATGAGCCTAAAAGAGAATACAAACTCAGGAGAGTGGAAGTATAATGAAATCTGCATGGGAATGGGCCTCACATGTGCCTTTCCTGGACTCATCAACAACTACTATCCGTATATCATCTCCTTCGCTGAGGATGAATCTGGTAACAGATTAACACAACCTTAGCAACAGGCTGCTTTTCACAGCTTTTAGTGATTTACTGGCTTTTTATGGGTCCTGCAGGCGAGCTGTACTTCATGTCCACAGGTACACCGAGCGCCACGGCTCCTTCGGGAGTCATATATAAAGTGGTGGATCCATCAAGGTGAGTCACGTTTTACTCTCGTCATTTGGAGAATAAAATCTTCCTGCAGTGTCCACAAAATAACTTCCCTTCATGGGAATTTATTTGTTGGAAAAGGGATTAATCAGAGACATGCTTAACATCCTTTGCTTAATTTTTGTCCTTTGGGGGGGAATCTGTTATTTCAGCTGGAAGTTAGGGTTCCAAGCTGTCCAGTGTTTCAGATGTCAGCTCAGTCAAACTCAGTTCAGACATGGTAGTCCTGTTATCAATACGGCCTCCTCTCTGGTTTCATTCAGCTTATTAATATTGAATACCAGAAAATTATGCAAGTTAGCTTTTACACCTTAGCTTAGTATCTGGGTATGTTTGGCAAATTTGAAATCAGGATCCAATGTCAAGCAATGTCTTCAGAGACTTTAATAATTTCCCAGTTGAGCTTCAGGTTTGAATCGTCACTGAGGAGAAACAGGTGGTGCAAAAACAACAGAGTGAAAATATGCTTCTTAATTTACACATTCTTAAAAAGTGACAACTAACTATCAACTATAAAATGGTCATTACATTTTCAAATACTGTCAAAATAATTTCTCCATTTTAAAATGATGAGGCTCCTCATTGGTTTTTGTACAAAAACCTGGTTCAGCGACTCGCGTCGCGTCAAGAGTGGGATGGAAAGTGTCTTCTGTCACCATGTGGCGTTCTTTAAACACTTTCTCTGACTGGAATCGTTTAGTTTCCTGAAAAGGATCATATTAAAGCGGAGACCAATGGTGAGCAGGGTATAAATATAATAAAGGAAAAGACTTACAAAAAACCCACAAGAACTGGAACAAAAAACTGTTGCAGATTTTATGTTCAGCAATGAATCAATTCACCGAGGAGCTTCAGAACTGAGATGTGATGAGTGACATGGAAAGTAGGTGAGGCTAATCAGTGGGATGCAGAACAGCTGGGGAGAATCTCAGCAGGGGACAGAGGGAGGAGACTCATTAGAGAAGAGGAAGCACCAAAGCTGCTGAACGTAAAAGGCGTAGAAAATTAGATTAGTCTATAGATATTTGTCAATTATCAAAATTCTACATAAATACACTAATAAAATGTACCAGAAGAAAATTGCTCTGCTGGATTTTGTTTGCTCTGAACGATATCTGTGGGAATCACTGAACATCAAAGACCTTTGTTATGTTGGGCTTCATTCATTTTGTCTCTGTGCTCCACCAGGTCCGTTTGCCAGTTCAGAACCCGACCAGAACCCCTCAGTGTAAATTACCTTGAGAAATAATGAGATTTGGTTATAAAGAGACTTTAATGTCGAAAAATGATCAAGTGTTACAAGCCATACATGTCATCCAAACAGATCAGAACCAGGCGAGGCAAAGACTAGAGTTTAGCTTTTTATTCTTCTCTGCTGTCTGTTCCCTCCCCAAAAGGAAGTCTGATCACTTTCAGTCTGTTTACATATGACTGCCGACGGTCACACATAAACATGGTCATGTAAGCTGCAGTGTGTGTGTAAGCAGATACAAGAGGCTAAAAGAGACGGAGGAAAAGACAGAATCCATAACATTATTTAGCATTTAGTTTCTGGTGCTTTTCAGACGTGCTCCACCAAGACGTTGCCACTACGAACCTCTTCCTGTCAGAGTCAGAAGTAACCTCATCCAGTTTGTTCCGCAGGAAAGTAAGTCCACCTTCAACACTAACAGAACCAAGCTTTTTAATTCTCCCTTTTTAATATGTTTTTTTTTTGGCATGTACTATATTGTTCATCAGCTTTGATCGGGGTTGAATTGCCAGCCGAAAACACGTCTGAAGCCGAACCCACAAGGACCTACGAGTTGCTTCTGGACCACCTGGATCGTCTCAGTGAAAGAGAACAAGACCGGACCACCCCTGCTCCCATCAGAACCACCAGATCACCCCAAAGTCCAAAGAGGAAAGGCCGCGGTCGGAAGGGGAAAGGCAGGTCCAGAAGCTTGTCTGAGCTTCACAACGGAGTGGTGAGACTGGTCAGGGATGAATTCTTGCATGGAGACCGTGGACGGGTGGAGATCTATGTTCACGGGGAGTGGGGTACCGTGTGTGATGACTTGTGGTCAATAAAGAATGCCGAGGTGGTCTGCAGACAGCTGGGATTCAAGTACGCCCTAAAAGCAGCCAGGAATGCTGAATTTGGAGAAGGAAAAGGACTGCGGATCCTCTTGGATGATGTTCATTGCAATGGCACAGAGTTCAACCTGTTGAACTGCATACATGCTGGAGTGGGGAACCATAACTGCGCCCACTATGAAGACGCTGGAGTGATCTGTGGAAACTCAAAACCCTCTGAAGAAGCCTAGAAGCTGGCAGCAGAAAGACAAATGCTTCAAACTAACCAAACTAAGTGCTAAAATCAAGTCACGATAAAATGCTTTGAATTGTCAAATTGCAGCTTGTTCAGCAGAATAAATTCATATCAAGTCATCTTGAGGTTTTAGATAGAATAAAATATATGGATTCAGTTCTTTTTTTTTTCTTTTACTTTATTGAACGTGTCAAGTTACAATAAAATTACGACAATGCAATAACAATAAACATTTAAGGAGTGGGTAGAAGTATAAACTTATTAACCTCCAGCAACATCATAAAATGATCTCATCTTGTTTATATGCATTTTATAAGTTCACCTTCATTTTACTTCCTGATTAATGCAGTACACTCACTGATATATTAATCATAGCTCTAATAGTATTAACAGAATATTAATGTTGATGCCAAAAATGATGTAACGACATCATAATACATCAAGACAGTTTCTCATATTTAGTGTAAACTATTTTCTTATACAAAAGTTTGAATTGTTTAATGTTTGGACATCGTTTTAATTCCAGTCAAACCGTTTCATAGTTTCACACCACAGACTGAAATGCTAAAACGTCTTCTTGTGGTTCTGATCTTACAAAGTTTGAATTTGTATTTTCCTCTGAGGTTATCAAATTCTTCTTTTGAGAACAATTTTTGAATATTTTCTGGTAACTGTTGATCATGTGCTTTGAATAAGAAACAAACCGTTTGAATATTCACTAAATCAGTATTTTTTTATACTCTAACATTTTTCATTTTTATAATTAAACATACAACACAAATCTAGGGGCACTGATTCATAGTTTTTTATATATTTTATTGAATTTTCTCTTTTAGGACATACATTTACAAACAATCAACATTATAAACATCTGCTTATACACATTCACTCACCATTCAAACCTGCATTTGTTTAGTGCCAAAAATATGCAAGACCCTTTAAATTAGAGCAGAGAAAAATAGAAACTGTAGACAAGACACTCATTATTAAGCTCAATTCTTGGTTATATTGTTTATTTTTATTGCTACTATGGCTGATAATTTCTCCTAATAAGCTTTAAAAGCTTCCCATCTAATACTAGCCGTGGTTTCATCTTTATTCATTTCAAAATATTTGTCCTTGATCAATCTTATTTACTTTAATTTCCAGGGACACTGCAGCATGAGCACCAATTATAATATTATACCAGCAGTTCTTCACAGGAGGCAGTAAATCCACAGCGATGAGAAAATGATCAATACGTGAATGGGATTGGTGTGAGCTTCAATAACATGAAAATTCCGTTATTTGGGTTCCTTGTTCTCCATACTTCATTTATTCTTAAAGTTAAGAAGCATTTTCCTGGTTTGTGTATGACTGGTATCGATTTGAGTAGATTTATCCAGACTTGGGTTTAGGCTTCTTCTTGATATTGGATGAATGTTGGTCAGATTTAACAACTTTTATGATCCCCAATTTTTTTAAAGCTGTAAAATCCTCTTACATGTTGAATGCTTACCAGACATAATTTGTGTTGTCAGGCATTATTCCAGGTGTTTTGCATTGTCATGTATTTTGCTGTAATTTAAAAAAAAATTCTTTTATGGTCTTTTTTCTAGATTTTGAGATCTGTGTGGTGGAAGATGAAGCACCATCCTCAGTAACAATCCCTCTTGTCCGCCCAACATCATCAGTGTCCCCAGCTTCTTCTTGCTCTTCAGATTCCACAATTATTCTGAAAAGTTCTAAGAACCGTAAGAACGAACTTGGAGAGCTTGGTCATGAGGAAGCAAAACAGGTTAGAAGCAAAGCCAAAAGTTATTTCCAGTGCTTAAATGAATATTACAAGCACGAACATTTTGGGTGTTTGGATTTAATCTCTCTCACAGAAGGTGCACACTGCCCTGGGGTCAAACCCAGAGGGTGAGGAAATCATGAGTGAATACAACAAAACTAAAACACTGTCAGATGCAACTCGTCGACAAATGGTCAACATGCTGGTTGCAGATATGATAGAATCACACAGGTAAGACTTGTTGATGACAGAAAGCAGTATTGAGTGAGCAGCATAGCAATTATTTTTGTTTTTGATAGGAGGATCCCACCCGTAAGTGTTCAAACTAGCTATGCAACCCTTTTTCCATATCTTAAAGATATGGAAAAAGGGTTAGACAAAAGCTGTAGATAATTTTAAAGGTAACAAAACAGTTTACCATGTTGGAGCAACACTTGGAGCCAAAAAACTTTCAACTTTGGGAAAAACTGAAAGATAAATATGAGCAGTAGCCTCACCTGGGCCTGTTTGGTCCCTGTCACATATTCTTAAGAAAAACATTTACAGATGATGAACTTTTACTGAAATGTATCACACTAGCAAGTGTTACAGAAAATATCTATAAGAGTTTAAAATTTTGCGACCGTTTTAGGAAAAGATGAAGTGAATTACAAACTCATAAACACTAACTAGTCGTGCTGCCATAAATAACGCAGTAAAATGGTTAAACTGTTTTCCTTCAGAGGCGTCTACCCGCTCTTACGCAGGGACATTCACACAGCCACATATGCTTTGTGTGCAGGGCCGGGATGACTCCGCTGAACGCTGTGTATCAAGAAGACAATCTGTTTGAAACCAGAGGTAGTTACAACATTCCTAGTCCATTTCAACTTCTCTGGGTATATTACTATATTTCAAATTAAAACAGTAAATGGTACACTTTGAATGTTTTCACCATCTCCACCCAACCAGCATGCACCTCAAAAAGAATCAAGCGCACTCATCCCTTTCACTTCTCAAGCTCAGCAGCCAACATTGTTTGGAATATGGTATATTTATTTATTCACTGCTAACTTACAAGTAAATTATTCCGTTTCTATTGGTTAATTCAAAGAGGTTGGGAGGAGTTTATGGTGAGCAGATGTTAAAGTTCCCCTGAATAAAGTCTTTGGCATCCGGTCACATATTTCATCCTGCACATCTTGAAACTTTGAGAGAAAACTAAGTGACTGTTACAGTTAGCACAAGCATTTATTTAAGCAATAAGTCACTGACATCAAAAGCTACCATCTGCTACGGGTCAGAACCTCAAACATCTGGACCCCACTTCCGGACCACCCGCTGAGCCCCTCCCCCACTGGAAGTCCTGCCCACCTGTTAAATTTGATTGACTAAAGGGTGTACTTCTAGTCTGAGGGCTTAGGAAATGAGGCCAAAAAAAGGGACCAAAAGGGCACTTGGGGGCAAGGAGCAAAAGGGGCAGGTGCCCCCCCTCTGCCGGGCCCTGCACCTCAGTGGCAATACTGTCCAGCTTACCGTTGATCTCATGTCCCAGATGGTCGAAGTTTTGTTGTAGCTTTGCATTATCCCCCTTCAAGACAGTCTTTAAATCGTCAATAGCCTTAAGCATTCCTTGCGAGTCCGTGTTCGTTCCAGTGCTCTCAGCTCCCGCACTAGCAACATTTTCGCTAGCTTGTGTAACAAGTTTAGAAAATGTGCTTTTATTTTTATGTTGAAATTTCACCAAATCCCGATTAACACTGAAGAATCCTATTTTTTTGTTATATTTTAAGGATTGTATTTTATACAATAAAATGTATAAATAAAATAGTAAGTCATAAAGAATCTCTGATTCAATCTTATCAAGAACTCCACGAGACATAATCAAGTCATCAGGGCACAAGAATCATAATTCCCACTAAGTAATAAATGTCATTGCTGAAAATTGTTAATATATGAAGCATTTTATATTGGATCTAATATACACAGGTAGTGTACACTACCTGTACTGTTGCGTTGAGAGTGTTCTATGACATCATTACTGGACTACTAGGCTGCCTGAGGAGAGGTAGGAAAGTTTCTTTGCTCTTGGTTAAGTTCATGTTTTTTTTATATATATTTATAAAATAATTGAAAGCACATGCAGCTGTGAATGTTTATGTTTTAATACATACATCTCTCTTGACAAGTTAAGAAAATTTTGTTGTAAATATTAGAGCTGATATTTTTATTAGTTAGTCACAGGGTTTCTCCATGTGCTTTTCTGCTAGGGGAATTCCGACTCCTGTGTGTGGAAGAGCTGCATGTTAAAGGGCTTTTTGTATTTCTATTTGTGCAGGTATGTGTATTTGGTTCTTTTGTTCTACAATGTTTAAGCTGGTTGTATTAAGTACACAAAACATTTGGGTTATGTAATTATCTCAGTTTCCTTTTTTTATTTTTTTATTTTTGTATTATTGTGAATTTATTTCTGGGAACAATACTGTGTTACCCTGAGTTGGCGCTAGGCTGCCTGAGGAGAGGGGAATTCCGACTCCTGTGTGTGGAAGAGCTGCATGCTAAAGGGCTTTTTGTATTTCTATTTGTGCAGGGCTCTGCCAGCAACCTGCATTAAAGAACAACCAGCAGCTCCAGTGGTCTGAGTCCCTTCTTGGTCTGAACACAACGCAGAACACATCAAGGTTAACCGACTGTATAAGACTAGATTATTGGTAAAAGAACACTAGTAATATACACTGGTTACATAAACAGCC